TTCCCCCCTTCTTCTCCCCCTTGGTCCTCCGTCAAGTTCCTCCTAATCCTCCTATATGTGCAAACATATGATATTTGTCCTTCTCTGCCTGACTTATTTCGCTCAGCATAACACCCTCAAGGTCCATCCATGGGAATATAATCATTTTTTATCATTGAATCAGGTGAAACAATTTCTTACTTTGAATAAAAGTAATACTAGGCTGTAGAGACTTAGAAGGATATAGGAGTATATGCTACAAAATCCTATCATATTGCCTTTAATCACAAACTAGCATGTTTATATATTTTCTTCCAAGTGAAGTTATCTTAACTGAACATCTTAAAATTTAAACTTCATGTCACATTTTCTGCAGCTGATCCTGTTTTCTTTATTATCTTTTGAATTGATAGAGAGTGAAGTATTGGAATAATTTGTGAAAGGAGATAGTAGGAGAGAGTTGTTTGTGCTAGGGTGTGTTTGTCCGTGTGTGTTTCAAATGCCTAATCAGTACCTGAGTCATATACGCGTACATACAAGTTTATCATTCCTATAAGTGGAGAAGACTTTTTTTTTTGTTTCTTTCCAAAGAGAATAGTAAAGATGAGAACTAATATAGAAACTTCATTTGGTTGAATTATTTGTCCCATTCTTCCTGAATGTGGCATGATGATTGCTATTTTTTAAGTTCCAGGTCATCAAATTGGATTAAACTGACTTTTGAAATTCTCTTCCAAAAGGTTTCACTGGAAGAAAAAAACGCAACTATTATTTATGACTCTAAACTACAGACTCCAAAGACCCTCCAGGAAGCTATTGATGACATGGGCTTTGATGCTGTTCTCCACAATCCTAACCCTGTCCCTGTTTTAACTGACACTGTGTTTCTGACTGTTGCTGCTTCACTGGCTCTGCCATGGGACCATATCCAAAGCACATTGCTCAAGACCAAGGGTGTGACAGACATTAAAATTTCCCCTCAGCAAAGAACTGTAGTGGTGACAATAATCCCTTCTATAGTGAATGCCAATCAGATAATAGAGCTACTTCCAGATCTCAGTTTAGCTATTGGAATTCTGGAGAACAAGTCAGGAACTTGTGAAGATTACAGTATGGCTCAAGTAGGTGAAGTCATGCTGAAGATGAAAATAGAAGGAATGACCTGCCATTCGTGCACCAGCACCATTGAAGGAAAAATTGGGAAGCTTCAAGGTGTTCAGCGAATTAAAGGTAATAGATCTGGTGGTATTAGCCTGGTTGTTTTGTAAGGTTGAGCTTTCTGTTTTTGGCCTTTTAAGGTTTTTCTTTCCTCTTAAGCATGGGTTTAGAATCCACTGGACTAGAATGCTGACTGCTTCATTGAAGTCTGAATTCCAGAGTGTACAGTGTACATATTCCCAGGATTAATGTGGGTAAAGCTAATGATTATAATTAACAGCTACATGAGTTTTGAACTAACATAAAAGGTAGCTGGGGTGGCAGTGCATGGAGTTCAGTGTTTTTAACACAACATGCATGGGGTCCTTTCTATCTCTAATCTATTTCTGTTTAGGCATGCAGAAACTTGGAGACCATAGATATAGTGGTCATATTTTTTTACTTTTTTCCAGTCTATGTCAGTAACATTTTATGAAAACAGAATTATCTTAAGGAAATCTGATGACAATGAAGACAGAAACAATTATGTGTGGTTTTGATTTGAAAACTGCAGAATATTGGGGCGCCAGGGTGACTCAGTCGGTTGAGCGTCTGACTTCGGCTCAGATCATGATCTTGTGGTTCACAAGTTCAAGCCCCACATCGGGCTCTGTGCTGACAGCTCAGAGCCTGGAGCCTGTTTCAGATTCTGTGTCTCCCTCTCTATCTGCTCCTCCCCAGCTCGTACTCTGTCTCTGTCTCTCTCAAAAATAAATGAAACATTAAAAAAAAAAAAAAAAAAGAAAAGAAAACTCCAGAATGTTTTCTGAAGTGGCCTAAGAATAACTGAATTAAATATTTCTCTTTTCATTAACTAGTCTCCCTGGACAACCAAGAAGCTTCTGTTGTGTATCAACCTCATCTTATCACAGCAGAGGAAATAAAAAAGCAGATTGAAGCTGTGGGCTTTCCAGCATTCATCAAAAAACAGCCCAAGTACCTCCAATTGGGAGCTATTGATATAGAACGTCTAAAGAATACACCAGTCAAATCCTCAGAAGGATCACAGCAAAGGAGTCCATCATATAGCAGTGATTCAACCGTCACTTTCATTATAGATGGCATGCATTGTAAATCATGTGTGTTAAATATTGAAAGTGCTTTATCTACACTCCAGTATGTAAGCAGCATTGTAGTTTCTTTAGAGAATAGATCTGCCATAGTAAAGTACAATGAGAGCTCAGTCACTCCAGAAACCCTGAGAAAAGCAATAGAGGCCCTATCACCAGGGCAATATAGAGTTAGTATTACAAGTGAAATTGAGAGTACCTCAAACTCTCCCTCCAGTTCATCTCTTCAAAAGATTCCTTTGAACACAGTTAGCCATCCTCTGACTCAAGAAACTGTGATAAACATTGGTGGTATGACTTGTAATTCTTGTGTGCAGTCTATTGAGGGTGTCATATCAAAAAAGACAGGTGTAAAATCCATACAAGTATCTCTTGCAAATGGCAATGGAACTGTTGAGTATGATCCTCTACTGACTTCTCCAGAAACCCTGAGAGAAGCAATAGAAGACATGGGATTTGATGCTGCCTTGTCAGGTAATTATTACTTTTTTCTCAGATTCCCTTACTGTTTTTTTATCTCCTAATTTGGATTCTTTGGCTTCCATCAATAATAATGAGTAATAGGCACTGCAATTCCGGTTTTTGGAAGTAAATCAGCAGTGTATACAAAGATGCCTAAGGATGTTTGAATAATTATCTATAATATTTAAAACTAGAAACATTATACCAAGATACATCCATATGATGAAATGCTATGAAGCCATAAAAAATTACAGTATTAAAAATACTTAATGCACAGGAAAGTGTCTGAGATATTTGTTAAATGAAAACATAAAATGTAAAAATCTGTATATTCAAACTATGATCAAAATATTATAAACACATGTTAAGATTTATACCATGTATATGCTATTTATGTATATGAGTGAGTAAAATTCTTGGTAGGACATGAACTAAAATTTTAATAGTGGTTATTATATGACTGGTAGGATAAAGGTGATAGTTTTTCAATTGTGCTTTCCTATGTGTTTTAAGTTTCATGTGACAAGGATATATATGTATGTATGATGGGAGAAGCAAATGCTATTTTGAAAAAAAGGTAGAAATAAATAATAGAATTTTAACTGTAGTTTTAAATTTAGGCATTCAAATGAAACTGACTCTAGAACTGCCTCAAAGTCTTTCCATTTCCTGACAGCTCTTGCCTTGAACTGAAACCAAAAATGAATAGTGCATGGAATTTGCCTGTGTGAACTTGTTGTTTTATTTATTTTTATTTTTTTAATGTTTATTTATGTTTGAAGGGGAAAGAGAGCATGAGTAGGGGAGGGGCAGAGAGAAAGGGAGACAGAGAATGTGAAGCAGGCTCCGGGCTCTGAGCTGTCAGCAGAGAGCCCGACGTGGGGCTCGAACCCACAAACTGTGAGATCATGATCTGAGCTGAAGTTGGAATCTTAACTGACTGAGCCGCCCAGGCGCCCTACTTGTTGTCTTACACTAGAATATAACCTAGCCTTGAATTAAACTGGAAATGCCCTAATGAAATGTCTTGCTGTAAATAAAATAGAAAAGTTGTATAACTAATTTCTAGATTAGAGAGGCATAAAAATTATCTTAAACACATGCTCAAATTATGGCACATAAATGTGAGTGGAAGAGGACCCAGAGACATACTAAATATTCTTAATTTTCATATTCAGAACAAATGGTAGAAATTGTAGAATTCTCACTTTTTAATGTCAAGGTATAGTTTTTATGTCATAAAATTCACCCTTAATTTTTTTTAAAATTTAGACAGAGAGGGAGAGGGGCAGAGGGAGAGAGAGAACCTCAAGCAGGCTACATGCTCAGCATGGAGTCCCATGCACAGCTCAATTCCATGGCCCTGGGATCGTAACCTGAGCCAAAAAAATCAAGAGTCAGACACCTAACTGACTGAGCCACCCAGGAGCCGCAGAATTCGTTCGCCCTTTTAAAGTATACAGTCTAGTGGTTCTTAGTATATTCGGAGTTTTGCAGCTGTTATCACTATCTAATTTTATAACATTTACATCACCAGCAAAAGAAACCCTGTACTCATTAGCAGTCAGTCCTCATTTGCCCTCCCCTATCCCAGCGCCTGTTATCTGTTGTTCCGTTTTTTGTCTTTATGAATTTGACAACTCTAGGTACCATATAAGTGGAGCCATAGAATATTTGTCCTTTTGTGTCTGACTTCTTTCATTTAGTATCTTGTTTTCAAGGAACACAAGTGTTCATCTATGTTTGTAACGTATATCAGTATTTCACGTTTTTATTGCCAAATAGTATATATGTATATGTACACACACACACACACACACACACACACACACACACACACACACATTTGTGTTATATGTTGTATTTACATATCATTTTGTTTCTCCATTCAGCAGT